CGCCTCCAGGATTTCGCGCGGCCATTTTTTTCTCGCGGTTTTCTTTCGCGTCACGCACGACGGACTAAGCGAAAGAGGGACTACTCGTAGTCTAGTTTGACTGTAACTCTATCGCACCCTGGGATTTACTTTACGCATCCAACCGTTTGATTGACAGCAGCTGAAATCTGCAAAGTGACTCAAGTATTCCGAGAGCTAAATCTGTTGACCAATCAAAACCGACTAGTTCTAGACATGCAAATTACATTATGCCGCGCGTTGATAAATTGGGTATTGTAAGCATGGTAAGTACATGTCGCGAAAAACAGTAGCATTCTGGGCGATGGATTACTGAAGAAAAACTTCCGAGCAGCAATTGCAGAAGGTAAGTCTTGGCAAAAGGGATTGCCTGAAATCCTTATGCTGTATTGGGCAAGTCCGCATCCGGTGAGTGGGAAATCGCTAGCCATGCTGTTGTTCAACCGCGAACCTCGCATGAAAGTGCCTCAAATTGAATCACATGTGAACACAGCACTCGATCGGGAACATCGCGAATAGTGCAACTCATACCAAACACGTTTGAAAATTTATCACCACGCAGCATGCAGCTCCGCGTGACTTTAACATCGATGACATTGTGTACTGTGCAAACATAAAGCCCAATAAATTGGATTCCAAATTTTCTCCGGCTATTAAAGCGCGTTCTCATTAAGTCTCAAGGGAGGACACATTCAGCGTCATCAACGTCACAACCAGTGCCACTCTGGTTCGCGACGCAAAATACTTGAAGCGTGAGCCTGCTGGCGAAGTTATTACAGATTGTAATGGCACAGAGCAGCAGTGTTTCTTCTCTTTCTCTCGGGACAATTACATAAGGCTCTTTACTGGTGCATATATAGATTAAGACTGTCAAAAGCAGTGAATATATTAAATAGCTTGTGTGACCTTCTTACCTTGCAGAGTTAAACATCGTTCCTGTATCTACATGTCAAAGGCATCCTAGGGCTTTAAATTACCATGGTGAAGTGCACTTTTTTGAGAAAAAGTGCCATACACATGGGTGCTACATTCCTGATGTTGATTTCCCTACTTTCCATGCTAGCTTGGCTAATAACGACAGATCAAAGATTTAACTATCAAGTTATTCAGGTAAGCTGATTCATTCAAGTTAATTCTTGAACCAATGTACTGCATCGCCGACCGCAAAATGAAAGACTCGGCACGGTCATATGGAATATATTTCAATTCAAACAGTCCGGGATACTGTAGTGCACAGAGTTTTGAGATAAAGCTACTCGACTCCTTTTATTAAATTTGAAACTTATGGAAGCATTTAATCAGCGCTGTTTTGGAAAGATGGCGTTGTTGGCAGGTTCTAAAATCGAATTATGTCTCATTATAGTATATTTTGCTCATAGAATACCGAAAATTTGTAGTCTTTGAGGGTGAAAACACTCTAACCGTGAACACTTGACATATTTTTGTACCTTTTCCTTTTGTCACTAAAGAACGAGGTCTCTAACTTCATATTAATGAGGGAACTCGACGCTTTTACACGCAGAAGAAATCTTGTACGTTATCATCATTTGTTTTCAGTTCGTGACCAGTAGTTTAGTTTTTCAGTCAAGTATTTTCGTTTCCGATTTCATTTTAAAGTCCGCTCTTTGAATCGTACGTTTTGTTTGCAACTCTGAAGAGAATTTTAAATTGTTTACTTAAAGAGCAGCCAATCATACTTTCGTTGTCAAGCGCTGTTTTGGAAAGATGGCGTTGTTGGCAGGTTCTAAAATCGAATTATGTCTCATCATATTATATTTTGCTCATAGAATACCGAAAATTTGTAGTCTTTGAGGGTGAAAACACTCCAACCGTGAACACTTGACATATTTTTGTACCTTTTCCTTTAGTCACTAAAGAACGAGGTCTCTAACTTCATATTAATGAGGGAACTCGACGTTTTTACACGTAGAAGAAATCTTGTACGTTATCATCATTTGTTTTCAGTTCGTGACC